TTGGAGAAATCTCAACCAAATACAAGCTTACAGCCATGATCAGGTGGGGGCGCATGGGGAACATAATGGGATTTGCCCTAGTCTAGAAACTCAGGGGGAGAGGGGGCGCCATGGGGTGTCTGAGGCAGCTTTACCCCCGTCTAACCTCTCTGGCCCCTTCCCAGCTACCCCCGGTGACCCTCCAGGCTCCGTGAAACCTGCGGCCTGTTCATGCAGGCACAGCCCTGAGGCAGGCTTGCTCCCCGCCGCGCTCGCCTCAGCCTCTTGGCCTGCATAGACATTTAGAGATCTACTCGGGCCAGGCTTCTGAGAAGAAGCGTCAGCCGAGTTGGCATCTTTCTTTCTCTTCCTTTTAATGTCTTTCCCCGGAAGCTGAGCTTCCCGCCACAAGGACGGACCGGAGAAATTTTAGTCTTCGAAGAGGACTTGCGGGACTGTGAGTGACAGCACTGTGAAATCACAAAGCAGCATTCTTTCCTCTGGGCAGACCTAGCCAACACCTGGGTCCCAGGCTCCCCTGGTGGAGAGCGGACTGGATTCCACCCCTGCTCACCTATCTATTCATTGCTTTGTGCAGTGCCCAGCCTGTGCGTCTGTTCGAGGCAGCCCAGGGCATTCAGCTCCTGAACCGGGCTTGGGGAAGCCAAGGGCAGAGGAGAAGGAAAGCACCATTGGGAGGCCTCAGGGAACAGGAAGGCTGCCCTTTCCCTGCCTCTTTCACTGATCACTGTGACTGCTTTCAGCTGCCCATGTCAGCTGCTGCCAGTACATAGCCGCACAGCTCCCAGACCTCGCCCTCTGTCCCTGGGCTTTCCCAGGGAAGAAATTTCAGCTCCAACTTTTTTGAAGGTTCGAGGCCAGGCTACTCTGAGAGTAGAGGATGAGATGGAGGGGATAGTTCACAGTGGAGGGGAGCACAGGGTGTTTACCAGTTTGCTCAGGCTGGGAAGGAAAACATTCGGGGGCTTTCAGATCCAGGGGGTGAACAGATGGAGTGAAGGGGGAGCTTCGACCTGAATGACAAAGTCCAGGGTTTGGCAAGCTGCTCACAGCAGCAGCGTTTGTGCTGGTGCCTGATCCCAGAGCCGCCGGGAGTGGGCCCTGCATGCCCGGATGAGGCCCCAGCTCCCCTCCGGGAACCAGTCAGAGGCGGTGCGCAGGGCGGGGGCCGTGGCACGGCACGGGCAAGGAGGCCCTAACGAGGTCCTCACGCCCTGCTGAGCGGGCGCCGGTGAGAGGAGCCATCCATCATCGGCGGGGATAATTGTTCAGGGAGGCAGCGGGGCCCAGCCAGATGTGCGCCTTTTGGACTCTGTAAGAACCAGCACTCCCGTTCAGGCCATTTATCAAATTTAGCTGGATCTCTCCTCTTTTATTCCATTTATTTCAGTCAAGGAAACTTTCTTCTAATGAAGATGAATACAAAGCGATGAGTGGCTTGGCAAACGTCAACAGAGTCAGAATATAGGATTCGTTCAGCGAAAAACCCAGGCGGTGCTGAGGTTGGAGAAATGTCGCACAGCCGGCACTGTTGAAGGTTTCAGGGGGTTCCGGTGTGGCTCCGGGGGCACAGCCAGCCCCCTTTCTGCTGAAGCTCTACCTTCAGCTTCCAGAGCAGGGGTAACCGTGTGAGCCACCATTCTCTGACACTGACTATGTGCTGGGCTCCTCCGCTCATCCTAACGTGGGAGGGGAAATCACGATCCCACTTAGCAGATGTGGAGACTGAGGCTCAGAGAGGTTAAGCAGGTGGTCCTGACAGGGGTCCCAGGCGGAATGTGAGCACTGTTCTTCCTGCTCAAGAGCCCACATTCACATGTGCCAGCAGTGGGGCTCAGTGGCCAGGAGGTCAAGGCTCCTTAGACTGCCTGGTTCAAATCTTGACTCCAGGGCTTACTAGCTGGGTGACCTTGAGCCTCTCCTTTAATCTCCTTTAATCTCTCTGTGCCACTGATTGTTTGGGCAATGGATGGGTCCACCTCAAAGAGCTGGGGGCATACTGAATGAGAGAATCTTTGCAGAAACCTCAATGCACATGGGCTGCTTTAAGTAACATTTTTTTTAGTCTCAGGGTATCATTTGGTGTCTGTATTTAGCATTGGCTGCTCTAAGGGTAGAGGTAGGATCATGTCTGGGGTGTTGGACCCAGTGGGTGTGGGAACTGCCTATAAGGGCCCGTGGTCCTGTCCCTGTCCCTGGAGAGAGGATACTGGCTGCTGAGTGGGGGCTGAGGATAGAGTGCCCCGACCCTGGTCACCTGGGATCTGAGGTCCATGGGAGTTGCTGTGAGGGCAGGTATGCTTTTCCCTCCTTCGCCCAGCTCCCAGCACAGGTACCCAGTTGATGTTGGTTTATGGGAGGCTGGGCTGGGGGCAAATGAAGATGGGCAGACAGTTCTGTACCAGGAAAGAGTGCACTAAGTGGGCAGGAGTTGTCTCAAGGGGTGGCTCGGTCCCGCCCTTCATGGTGCCAGGGAAGGAGACCCACTGCCTTCCTGTGTGCTGCTGAGGTTGAGCCCAGAGCTGCCAGCCTTGTGGAAATGGTCTGATCCTGGCCACATGGCCCTGGCAAGTCCTTCTGCTCTCTCTGCCTCAGTTTTCCCAGCTGTACAATGGGGAGAGGATTGAGCACATCACCAGGGGTTTTCCAGAGCACTTATTTTATAACTATGAGTAAGCCATAAGTGTAGGAGGAGGGGTGTCTGAGAAGCCCCCAGGGACAGCAGGGTGACTTTATAGGACAGGCCAGTGGGTGCTGGACATCCCATTCCACACGGCTGGGCCTGTCACAGACACCCCACAGAGGCCAGCTGGGCTGTTTGCCTCCAGAAACAGAGACATGTGGGGGATTGGGTGGGGACGATCCACGGGTGGGGGACCCCACAGAGGGCCTGGCCTGGGCATGCTCACAACCTGTGCTCCAGGCCGGCTCCACCACTGACCAGCTGGGGGAAGTTATGTTTGCTCGTGACTCAGCTTTTTCATCTGCCGCTGGGTGTGATATTAATGCCCTCATTGGCTCAAAGGGAGGATGCAGGTGTGAGAGGATCAAACACAGAGGAGAGACAGCGTTGACTGAGCACCTATTTTGTCCCAGGCATGATATCACTGAGGTTTTGCAATCTGAGAAGGATTATTATCTTTAGTTTATCGAGGCAGAATCTAAGGCTCAGAAAAGTGTATTGTCTGGTCCAAGGTCACAGAGCACATGGAAGAACTGACTCAGGTCTGTCCGACCCCAAAGGCCACGTCCCTGATCACTAAGCTCTGCTGCCTTCTCCCGGGGAGGCCTCCCCCACCACTGAAGGGCCGGAGAAGGGGCTGGGCCCAGGGTAGGCATGGCTTTCAATCGGGGGGCTAGTCCTGGCTGACTGGTGGGGAAGTCCTGGGAAGCTGTGCTGAGGAGGATTCTGAGGCCGTCTACACTTAGTGGGAAAGGGTACAGGGATCAGTCTGTGATGTCTGTCGCAGGTGAGGGAAGAGAGGATGGCAGTAGGTGAGCTACATTTGCCGCTCCTGCGCTAGACCGTGTCAGGGTCATTTCTAGGCCTGGAAAGCTGTTCTCCAAGGTGACCTCAGCACAGGCAGGATGTCCTTCTTGGGAAAGGAGACCGTCCCTGAAAGAGGGGATGGGTGGGGCCGGGTGCAAAGCTTGGCTGGGAGGGGCCCTCTTGGCTGCTCAGATAATCTGGCTGCTCGAGTGTGCACTGTGGGCGGGAGAAGGGAGGCCGCGGGACATCACCCTTGTAGGATCACGGCGCTGGGGGTGCTGAGGGGAGGCAGGAGCTCCCAGGCCTGACCGCTTCTGAAGCGAAGGAGGTGGGAGGCAGAGGAGACCCTGGGGGCTATCTAACCCAACACTCCTTTTCCAGATGGGGAAACTGAGGTACCTTCTTGCGTGGGGCCCATGATGCATTTTACTTTAAATGTGAAAAATGTGGGACGGGCTGGGTTGGCAGAAAGTTTGGACTCAAGCACAACCATGAATTGTTTGAGGATTAGAGCCCCTGTTTACTGGGCCCTCTGGGTGTTAGGCAGCGTGCTAAGCACTTTATAGGTATCGGGTCACAGAACCTCCCGGGAGGTGGGGACTGGCCCTACTTTACAGGTGAGGAGCTGAGGTTCAGTTCCTTGGCACAGTGGGTAGGTGGAAGGGCTGGGACCGGGCTGCTGGGCTACACCCAGCCTGGTATACCCCGGATGCACCGCGGGGATCACAGCCCTGGGCAACGCGGGCTGAGAGCATGGAGGAGAATCCCCGGGGAGCCCTGCCTCCCCTTCTCCTCCATGCAGGGGGTGTGGGCCAGCCCCCAGAAGGCTTGTGGACCAAGCCTCCTCCCATGCCCGCCTCTAATGCAGACACATCACATGCACACATGTACATAGACCACATTTTCAGAAACACTGCATAGGCTATGCTGTCTACAAATACCCACCTGAGAGCCCTGATGTAGAAGGTAATGCATAATACTATGAAGGAAATTCTGTAATAATAACAGAGCGTAGCTTATATGTAGCCACTATGTGCCAGGTACTGTCTGAAACACTGTGTGTGTGTGTGTGTGTGTGTGTGTGTGTGTGTGTATTCATTTAATTCATTTCATATGTCACTGAGGTCGTGAGTACTGTCCCCACAGGGAAGTGAGTTACGGAAAGCTTCAACGCCTTGCCCACGACACTCCCCTGGCGCACGGGGAGGGCCGGCCACAGAGCCTGTATGCAGGAAGCAGAGAGGTACATGAATAAGCCCAGAGAGCCTGTGAGACTGGGCAGCCCCCAGGTCTGTCCCAGGGATAGAGAGATCAGATGGCCTTGTCTTAAGCCCCAGCCAGGTTTCTGGAGGCGAATCTTGGCTGTGAGCTCAGGGAGGGAGGCTGGGGGGCTGTGGCCGGCTGAGGCCCCACAGAGCTGGTGGGTAGGTGGGTGAGGGCTCCCACCTGGTCAATGCCGTCTCCCTCCCCAGGTTTAGGGACCCACCAGGGCCCTCGGGGGGGCACTTACCTTCTTCCCGTGGACGGCTCCCATGGCACCAAGTGGGCACCGGGCCTGGGTGGGCCTCGGGGGCCCGGCTGGGGGTTCTCCCTGCTGATGTCGATCTCAGGAGCCGGGGCCCAAGGGGTTCCCCAGGCCAGGGCTCCCTGTTCTCTCGCGGCTCATTCTCCTCAGGCACAAAGGAGGCTTTGAGAGCTGCTCCTAAGCCCAGAGCTCCTCAGACAGGCTTAGAGTGATTGATCCTGTCAGAGATGCATGGTGTCCCCATGTGGCCCACACGTCCTGTGGTCCTCGTAGCTCCTCACTTCCTGCACCCCTACCTCTCTCAAGAGGGGAAACTGAGGCATCCAGGGTTGAGGGGAGAAGCAAAGCGGCCCTCTGATACAGCCGGCAGCTGGGGTGTGGCGAGTGACCTCTGGCCAGCCTAGCAGGACTTGGCCTCGTTGCCAGGCTGGGCACCGATCCGCAGAGGGGGCCCAGACAGTGGAGGCTGTGTGGGACCCTGGGGCACGGAGCTCGGGGCAGGCTTGTGTGGGCACGTAGACTCGGGCGGGACAGCCCCATTAATAAGACGCTTGGGGGCAAGGGCTGTCCCAGAGCAGAGAGTCTGTCTGTTCATTCAACAGGACAGTTGTCCAGCAGGGGAGGGCAGTGGGGGGGGAGGGGCTGGCCTGGGCTCAGGCCAGGAAAATATCTGGAGGCTGCATTCCAGGCCCGAGGCCAAGTTCTCCAAGTTACCCCAGCAATCACCCTCCTCCTCATTGGCCATCACTTTCCTTTTTATTGCCAGCATGGGGTGAGCGTAAGGCCGGAATCACCTTGGGCTTCAGTCCTAAGTCGCTCTTCACAGTTGTGTGACCCAAAGGGCATGATTCGACTTCTTGGAACCTCAGTTTCTTCATCTGTGTGTGGGTGTTCCTATAATCACACTGCACAGTGTTGCTCTGAGGGCTAAAAGAGGTAGGTGTGTACAGCCAAAGCCATTGTTCTGTTAAAGCATAAATCAGATGATGTCATTCCCTGTTTTATCCTCTCCCACTCGAGGAAGAGGGAGCCCCACCCCGTGGGGCGGTGATGATGAAATCCGGTGACTTGTGTAAAGCTCCAAGCAGAGGATTTGGACAACAGCAATTCCCCAGAGAAGTTAGATGCTGCTATTAATAATGCTGATGATGAAATCACTGCCTATTGGCGAGTCCCAGGTAGCCAGTTTGGTTAAGCCTAACGCCCCTTCTTAAGAGGTGTCTGGGCAGGGAAAACCTTGCCACCCTCACTTTGCTCTACAGTGCCTCACTGGGAAGTGGTGGTGGTTTCTGACAGACAATTTATGAAATGGTAGTGGGAGGAAAAGTGTCAAGGATTAGGCATTCTAGATCCAGCTTTGCCCACAGAACAGAAGTCCTCATGGTCCAAAGTTCTGATCTATCAAGTTTTGCTTCTTGGACATCATTTCCCATTCCCTTCTCTCCCTGACCGCTCCTGGATCATACCACCTTACCTTTCTCCTCACGACCTTTACATGGGTTGTTTCCTTTGCTTGGAATGCTTCCCGTCTCTCTCTGTCAACTCCATTTTTTAATCCTGCGTAATTCTTTCCTTTTTTTCCAATAGGCTCAATTATCTCCTCCTAAGAGAAGCTCTCCCTGACCCTCAATGCAAACTAGCTCCCTGGGTTCTCTGTTTATTAGTTTTTCGTGGCACTTATGCTTTCTGTGTTTATTGTCAGCTCCTGCACCTGAATGTCAGTTCCACAAAGGCTGAGGCCTGGTCGGTCTTGTTTATTCGTATACCCCCTGGGTCTAAAATAGAGCTTGGCACATTGCAGCCATTCAATAAATATTGGGGGAGTGGGTGACTAAATGACAGAGGATGAAATGAAACGGTCTAAGTACGTAGAGTGCCTAATGCAACCCTGACTCATTGCGAGAGTATTAGTACTGTCCCTTCTAGGCTTCTTCCTCTGCTCCTTCTTCTGATCCAGTTGCCCCCCATTCCTTTTCTCCCCGATTCTGTCATGGCCGGCACACAGCTTCTGATTTCCTGCAGTACAGAGAGCATCCACAACATTGTAAAGGGCAGTGACTAAATTGGCTGTCAGCCAGAGCAGTAAAAATGCCATCAGCCCTGAAGATCAAACTCCTTGGGCAGCCATCCCATAATTATCTACCAGCTTGGCTCTTGGTGGCATGGGAGGAGAGGAAAGGAATTTTACCCCTTTACTAATTTTTCCCCATCTGCTTGGAGTCCTGCTGAAATATGACTTATGAACTGTACTGAAAGCTTGGTTGACTGCAGGTCTTGATTGGCTGAAGGTCTGAAGCTTGGCTTCTGGCAGGATGAGGGTCTGAAATGTAACATTCGGACCCCATGCCATGGGCAGGAATAGGGGTGTTGGACCCAGAGCCTAGCACAGGGCCTGGCACCAAGGAGCGCTTGGGATGCAGACGCAGACGATTTATGAACAGATGGTCAGTGTTGCAGGGTCAAGGACAAGGTCTAGATCTGGCTTTGCCTTGTCTCACCGTGTGGCCTGGGCACAGTTCTAGCCTCTCTTTCTCTATCTGTGAAATAGGCCGTAGACATCTGTTCCTTCCTGACTCACAATCTTGTACAGGGGAGCAAGGCTTGCAAAATGTGGGACAGTTTTGAAAAGAATTGTCGCAAATCACTCAGACCCACTCTCTCTTCATCTCTCAAAGCGATGGTGGTGGATGTTGAGATGGTGGATGTTGAGAACATTGACTCAGATGTCCCGGGCAATTTTCAGAAGCCTTCAGAGGCATTCAGGAGGAGGAGGAGGAGGAGGAGGAAGGGGGAAAGGAAAAGGAGGAGGGAAAGAAAAACATTGTTCACCCCTGAGGAGGTTTAGGGCAACTATTTCTGAAAGATTTGTTTCCTGTAGTGATGTAGATGGACTGGGATTCCAACCCTTAATCAGAGACTTCTTAGCGGGGTGACTTTGGACGAGTCCCTTGGCCTCTCTGAGCCTCATTTACCTTGTGTGTAAAAGGAGGTAACAATGGTCTGCACCACATGGGGCTGTGAGGATGAAATGAGGTAGTTCATATAAACCTCTGCGGAGAGCATGAAACAGCAATTCCCATAGAGGTGGGTGCTGCCCTTATACTGCTGTTAATGTGATAGTAAATTCGCTGCCCGTTGGCAAATCCCAGGCATCCTGTCCATTAAGCAGAGCACCTTTCCCCAAACTGGATGGGCAGGGGGAACCTTGTGACTCTTCCCCTTTCTATCTTGGTCTGCCACCTGCTGGTGAGAACCAGAATTACAGCTGCTGGAGAGCCCTCCCCCTTACCTGCCCTTACCTTCCCCCTCCTCAGGAGGCAGAGAGGAGTGACTTCTGGGTGGGGAGAGGGTAGGGAGATATGAGCCCCAGACTCTGAGGCCGTGAGTAGCTTGCAGAGATCCCTAAAGGCTTGTCCCCCCCCCCCCAATGGTGAGAAAAATCAGTTCTCAAGTCTTCTTCTCTGTTTTACTCCCTGAATAACTGCGACTGGTCCCCTTTGTTCCATGGCTGTGTGCCTCCTGGTCCAGGCCGCCTCTCAGGATGATACAGCAGCCTCCTCACCTGGCCTCCTTTTCTCCACTCCCTTCTCCATACAGCAGCCAGGAGGAATTCTCAAACACTGCAGATCTGATCATGTCATTCCCCAGCTCCAACCTCTCCCTGTGTCTCCATAGCCCCTTGGACAAGGTCCTGGCCCCTTCCCCCAGCCCACAAGGCCCTTAATGCTGTGGCGCCTGCCTGCTCAGCTCTGTTACCCGTCCCTGCCTCTTTCAGGCCTCTCCACCTTGCAGGCCTTGTTCATGCTGCTCCCAGACGTGGCCTCCGTCCCCTTTGCCCGGGGAGCTCCTGCAAATTCCCAAGGCTCAGTGTGGATGCTGCTTCCTCCAGGACCCCTTCCTTGATCCCACAGTCTTTTGCCCAGCATAGCCCTCATCAAGTCATATTGCCTTTCGAGCTGGGTGGAGTCTGTGTCTGCTCTTCTTCACTGGGGTATCCCCAGTGCCTACCCAGTTCTTGATGTATAGAGTGAGTATTGACTTTTTCAACTCTCTACAGCCAAGTCTCTCTGCCTTCCCCAATCCTGAGCTGAACTGTGGGTCCCTGTAGTGGCCACAATGCCCTGGCAATGATGTTGAGAACCTCATGGGAGTTAGGCACTTTGTGGCCCTCACCCCAGGGGACCCTAGGGGGGCTGGTTCTAGATGCCATCTGCTTGGTGGGTTTGATGGTACAATTGATGGTCATTTGGGCTCCCTTTCATCATCTGGAGGATATGCCAGCCCAGACGTGCCTCTGGTTGAGGGGGAGGGGAGGCGAGAGGGGGCATGACCCGTAGTCTCAGCCTCACATCCTCCAGTGTGCAGCAGCACATGGCCTTTCCTCATGGGGAACTGACCCTCTTTGTGACAATTCCTGCAGGTGGGGTGTCTTGCCTCCTAGCCCAGGCCCAAACTCAGTCCCATCCAGCTGGCCTTGGCTGCTGCCTCTCTTGGGATAGGTCCCCCAAAGCCAACTCTGGGGTGAGGGTTCTCATGCAGGTGATTAAAATTTTTTTAAATGTTTATTTATTTAAGAGAGAAACAGACAGAGCGTGAGCAGGGGAGGGGCAGAGAGAGAGGGAGACACAGAATCCAAAGCAGGCTCCAGGCTCCCAGCTGTCAGCACGAAGCCTGATACGGGGCTCGAACTCATGAACTGCGAGATCACGACCTGAGCTGAAGTTGGGCGCTTAACTGACTGAGACACCCAGGTGCCCCTCAGGTAATTTATTAAGGATTGGCTTCTGGAGGACACAGGTAGGGGAGTGGGGGAGCATGACAGGCGAGGGGAGACAACCAAGCAAAGGGACACTTTCAGGCCAAGTCTCAGCTTCAGTTCGATCCCGTGGGGAGCCCTGGAGTGTAAATTGCACCTCGTGGTTGTCCTGCCCCGAGACAGGGAGGGAGCTGGGCTTTCCCACTCCCAGCTCGGCAGTCAAGCTGTGGACCATCCTGCGGTGAGGTGAACCCTCGCACTTCCTGGCCTCTCTGTTTTGCCCCAGTGAGCAAAGGTATGAACAGCCTGAGGGCAGTTGTCCAGAGAGGAGTGTGGACTGACTAGTGGCGACAGAAACTGGGAGAGGGGACCTGGGTGGACCACCAGCCATTCCACTGTGCTGCCCTTCCAAGCTCCGCCTCTCCAGGAGACGCTGTCCCCAGCTCTCTGATTCACTTCATTCTTCTTTAAAGTGCCATGCGACATATAGAAGGATTAGGAAGAACTTAACGGAGGACCATGGGGGAGAAGAAGGGGAGAAATGGTGGGGGAGAGGGAGAGAGGCAAACCATGAGAGACTCTTGAATGCTGAGAACAAACTGAGGACTGATGGGTGTGGGGGGGAGGAGGGATGGGCATGGAGGAGGGCACTTGTGGGGATGAGCACTGGGTGTTATATGGAAACCAACTTGACAATAAACTATTTATAAAAAAAAAAAATAAATAAAAAGATATTTTCATAAAAAAAATAAAAGTGCCATGCGAGACAGCTTCTAGAAAATACCACAGATCTTCTCTTACAGCCAGGTGGCCATCCCATGTCCTTTCATTTTAAAAAAAAATTTTATTTTTTAAAGTTTATTTATTTCGAGAGAGAGAGAACATAAGCCAGAGAGGAACAGATTGAGAGGGAGAGAGAGAGAGTCCCAAGCAGGCTCTGTTCTGTGCAGGGCTTGAACCCACGAACTGTGAGATCATGACCTGAGCTGAAGTCAAGACTCAGCCGTGTAACCGACCGGACCACCCACGCACCTCCCATATCCTTTTAAAATCGGTTCCAATGCCAAGAGCTCTGCCTAGCCCTGTTGCTGGCCATGAACTTACATAGAAGTCCTTAAAAGAACTGGTTCTTTTAATTTTATATTCTTGCTTGTTGTAAAGAAGATTCTAAAACATACAAAGGTGTCTATGGTAATAATGGACATTTCCTTTCAGCTTTCATTCCCAGAGGGGTATCTGGCCGGATGTTCTCCCACACATTCTATATACATCTTTTGACAACTTTTTTTTTTAAATATTTTTATTTATTTCTAGGAGAGAGAGAGAGAGAGTGTGAGCAGGGGAGGGTCAGAGAGAGAGGGAGATACAGACTCTGAAATAGGCTCCAGGCTCTGAGCTGGCAGTCAGCACAGAGCCCGACGCAGGGCTCGAACCCACGAACCGCGAGATCATGACCTAAGCGAAAGTCGGATGCTTAACCGACTAAGCCACCCAGGCGCCCCCCCCCCTTTTTTTTTTTAATATTTTTTTTCTTTGACAACTTTTGGTGATGTGGACATTTTATCGTATTTGATGCCCACGAGCCCCCGAGAGACTGATGGAATCCCCCATTTATCCAGGGGGAATTATGGCCCAGAGAGGTGAGACAACTGCTCGCCCAGCTAGCAGGTGGAGAGCCGGTGCTCAGACCCAGGCCGGGCTTTCCATCCGGCCACACTGCTTGCACTAGGTTAGACCGAGAAGTGGGTCAGCATAGAAAGCGGAGTGGCACAGTCAGGGTCCAGAGCCTGCGGAGACCCCCGTTCAGCTGGACTCGGTTAGCCCTGTGCTGGGGATGGAAGGGAGACCTGGTTCGGGGGGCCTTTGCTGGCACTGACGGTTGGGTGTGAACAAAATGGGAGGAATGGAGCAAATTCGTTCGCGTATGTGACGCTGCCAGGCATTCTCCACCATACAGATGGAAGGGTCTGGATAAGAGGTGGGGCGGGGGGCGCCTGGGTGGCTCAGCCAGTGGTGCGTCCGGCTCTGGATTTTGGCCCAGGTCAGCATCTGGAGGTTTGTGAGTTCGAGACCCGCACTGGGCTCTGTGCTGTGTGGAGCCTGCTTGGGATTCTCTCCCCACCCCACCCCCTCGCCCTCTCTGCCCCTCCCCTGCTCTTGCTCGCTCTGTCTCAAGACAGAACTTAAAAAAAAAAAAGTTAGGTGGGGCCACCGGCAAACTCCATTAATCCCCGAGAGTGATCTGCACTGGGGAAACGGGGGTAATGGGAGTGTGCGGTGGCTGGGGCAGGGGGGCGGCGGCTGGCTAGGTCCCCTCTTCTCACTTCCTGAGCCAAGCCTGCTCAAAGTTGTCCCATCAGGCTTTGAACACCGATCTTCACCCTACTGCCACTGCAGTCCAAGTCCCAGCCACCATGGCTCCGGGCCGAAGGTTCCCGTGCTCTGTCCCCTCCACCCCAGGCCCTCCCGGCACATTTGAAGCCCTGTCAGCCCCAGGGCCCCGCGGCAATGGTTTACACAGGACTTGAGCTGCTGCTGGTCTGCTGCGCGGGGCATTTGCACCTCTCTGCGAGTTTTGCAGTCTCCCTGGTACACACCGCAGGAGCCCAGGTACCAGTGCTTTCTGTTCCCATGACCCCCTCACTTGGCCCTTCTCGGAGACCTCAGGCAAGGTCTTTGTACATGTCCTTTGGGCCTTACTGTCTCAGGGGGCTCCAGTGGCTGGTATCACGTCTCTTCGCTAAGGACTCTCTGCAAAGCCACAGGCGGGTCCCCTTTCCTCTGTAGGGCAGGCACAAAGTGCTCAGGAACTCACGTCAGCCCTAGCACTAGCGGCGCCCTCCCCAGCAGGCACCGGCAGGATGGGCACCTGCGCACGGCAGCAACCTTGCCCTGGCCAACAGATCTCTGGTGTGTATATTCTACATGGGTTCCTGGGGATCCTTGTGGAACTGAGCTCTACTTACCCACGACTGTACCACGGCTCATAACACCGGCTCCCTTTACCGGCTACTTTCCCTCCCCTGTCTTACTTCCCCACCCCCATTGGTGTTTTCTAGAATCACTTCCCCAGGAGGTCTTCCCTGCAGCCTGCCTGTTCCTCCCAGCCTGCCTCAGCTGGTCCCCCCCCCCCGGCTCTCGATTCCTCTGTCTCTTGTTCAAGCAGCAGGTGAAGACATGCTCCGTGTCCGGTCTTCTGCTCTCTCTAGCCCTGTGGGTCTTACACCTGACGCTGAGAGCAAAGGGTTCATTTCCTTCAGCGAGATCCCTATGAAAGCAATCTCCTTTCCAGCTGCCTAACCTGGTGCCCAAAGCCGTCACTGACCTGTCCCAGCTTGTGGCCCAAGCAAACCTGGCCTGGGCCAGTTCGATCTCAGGGAGAAACACTGCACATCGGAAGGTCCGAATGTTCATTCAAAACCAGCAAAAATAAGATTTAATTGGGCACCTCAGGTATGGGCAGTCTGTCCTTCCTCAGGAGTGAAGACAGGCTCTGGAAAGATCCCTGAGTCTGGCCACCTGGGGTGGGCTGCCTCAGCCCATGAGAGGGGTCTGCTTCCACACAGGGGCGGTGCACAGTGCGTGGGCCCCCCACCCCAGCACTTTCCACAGGCCGCTTGGCCCCTTCTCGTCGCCGCAGCCAGTTCTGACTCCTAGAGTGGCCCAGAAACTTCTTCGGTCCGCAGCCACCCTATGGGATCTTCCGGGGAACACAGCCCTCCAGCTCCAGCAGCTCTGGCCAGCCGTCGTATTTATTTTTGCCTGGGCTGTTCTTTAAGAGCTAGAGAGAGAGAGAGAGAGAGAGAGAGAGAGAGAGAGAGGAGAGTGAGAGACATGGCCCACAGGGGAGGCTGCTAGGGATTCACACCTGGATTTTCATTGTGCTTTAAACCCTCACGCCTTCACTTACTTTGTCCTGTCTTCACCTCCCATGGGGAAGTGGTGGTGTTGGATATACCCAGCCCATTTCACAGGTGGGGAAGCTGAGGCTCAGAGGCACTACAACTTGCCCAAGGTTTTACAGAGGGGATCAGAGCTCAGTCACCCCTCGGCGCCCTGGAGAGGAGGTGGGGATTACCAAGCGTGGGAGGCGGGTTTGCAGAGTGTTTGCTCCTCTGCCAAATTCTCCACCAGCCCCTCTAGGACACCCCCAAACAATCAGAACAATGAGAAGAAGCATCCTAGCAATTTATGAACACTTACCCTATGCCAGGCGCAAAGTACCTTATGTATTTATTCCTAATGGCAGCCCTAGGAAGGGGGACCATTATCATCCCATTCTACAGATGGGGAGCCCGAGGCACAGAGGCCCAAAGTAACTGCCTATGGCCACTTAGCTGGTAAGTGGCAGAACTACTTTGTAATATTAATTAATAATAAATATAGAGAGAGTAAAATCAGTTAAGATTGTGTTTAAAGTGCCTTGGCTTAGTTTACAGAAGAAACAAATGTAAACGGCAAAGTCCACCAGCGGCATAATTGTGGCTCACCCTAGGAAATGAAAGTAATTCTAGATGCTGCTTCCCTAAAGCCCGGAGCCCCATGTGTGGGAACAAAGGATTGGATGGCTGCCTCCGATTCATTTCTGGGTGATGGGTCCCAGTCAGCCCATCATAAACATCAGGTAAAAGATGGTGTTGACTTTTCTCGACCCGGGTGATTCTCTGTTGCTGTCTTGGCCCGGTTTTGATGAGTTTGGAAGCTGTGCTCTATGAAGAGCAGCGCCTGCAGCCTGAAGCCTCTTCCCTGCGTCCTGCTCCGCCCCACCCCGCACCTCGCACAGGGACGCTCTGGAGTTCTGCGCCCCATGCCTGTGTTCTTCGCCCCGAGGCTATCAACAGAGGGCTCCCTCCTTTTCTCCTCCAGCACAAACTACCATGTACAATCATTTTTTAAAAGTAATCTAACGAGGGGCGCCTGGGTGGCTTAGTCGGTTAAGCGTCCGACTTTCGCTTGGGTCATGATCTCGCGGTTCGTGGGTTCGAGCCCCGCGTCGGGCTCTGTGCTGATTGCCAGCTCATAGCCTGGAGCCTGTTTCAGTCTGTGACTCCCTCTCTCTCTGACCCTCCCCTGCTCACACTGTCTCTCTCTCTCTCCTAGAAATAAATAAAAATATTAAAAAAATAAATAAATAAATAAAAGTAATCTAACGACCTGAATTCGTTCTCCTCGAAACTCACGCATACAAACAAGGCCAGCATTTTCCAGATGAGGCAACAACCCTTGCAGCCCATTGTGGTCCCCCGAGCTGGAGCTCAGCCTCCTGGAGGCTGTCCCTCCCTGCCACCCACGGCCCCTTCCCTGGGGGCTGCTGAGCCTCTTGTCTGATTATTGCCTGGGCCTCCTGCCTGCCTTCCCCGGGCTCAGCCACAGAGATCTTTGTGGAGCGGCTGACCTGGATGACAGGTGCCTCCACATCACAGAGTAGCTCAGACCTGAGCAAGCTGGTTAAAACCTCTCCATGCCTCTCGATCCTGGACTGTGAGATGGGAGCATAATTGTACGTGCTTCATGTGGGAATTAAAGAAGGCGCTGCAGGTAGCTTGTTTAGGTGAGCCGGCACAGAGCAGGTGCTTGCTGAATGCTAGCTAATCTTTCTTATATATCAATCTGTTCTTGTTGCTTTCCCGCTTAAGCCTTCAATGGCTCCCCATTGCCTTCAGGATAGAGTTCACTCTCCTTGCTAGTCCTTTATGGCTCTTAGCTGCCTTCTGGGCAGAACTGAATGTTGTCACTGCCAGGGACTGGGCTTCTTCATGCCCGGAAAGATCTGGCTAGTTCTCCCACATTTTGGAATTGCTCTGAGCTGGGGGTGCACAGATGGGGGACAGGGAGAGAAGGTGCAGCATTTCCCTGTGGGCTCCCAATGCTCCCTTAACTCCCCTTTCCTGCTCTGAGCACTCCTGAGACTCCACTGCTGGGGGCCTCTCACACTCTGCTTGGGGACACCCCTGGGTAGTGACCATGGAGCCACACGTCACGGACCACTCCTGACCCCTTCCAAAGCAGGGGAGCTCTCCTGTGTTGTCCTCTTGATGCAAGTTTACCCTCTCCACAGGGAGCTTAGAAGGGGACAGCTCCTTTGGTCCAAACCTCTCCCTTCAGGCGGGGAGCCTGAGGCGTGCGTCCGTGCGTGCGTGCGTGTGTGTGTGTGTGTGTGTGTGTGTGTGTGTGTAAGGGGTGGGGCTTAGGTTTCCATTGGGACCAGAAGCTAGGCATCCCCCTTCTCTGGGCTCCCCTTTCTGCCCATCATGCAGGCTTCATCTCTTCTTTTCTCTTTTTTCCATGCCTTACTTGCCTTCATCTTTCTTGTCTCCTTTTCCTTCTCCTTTTTGGTACTTATCCATTTATTATGACCCACCTCCTTGAAAAACAGTCAAGGCCACTTCCTGCTCGAGGATTACCCAGTCAGGCCACCCTGACCTCTAGGATTCCCACACTGTTCTTTCCAAGCTATCTCAGTCCTTGTTCATCCATCCCCAGCACCTTCCCCCCAAACCCCCCGCTTCACTGGGACGGGGGGCCCCAGGAACCCACCTGCTCAAAGGGGCTTTTATTCTTGAGGTCTTTGGACCCTACGAAGACCCAGCTATCTCTGAAGCCCAGCTGATTTGCGTAAGAACTGCCCAGGTCGGAGAGGAGCTTCCGGATCTCATTGTTCATTCTGCAGAGGAACAGAGAGCACAGTGAGGTGGAGGGGTGGGGGAAGGGCCAGGTTCTCAGGCCACTGGCCTACAGGCAGAGGGGTGTTCAGGAGGAACAGGGCTCAGTGGCCAGGACTTGGAGTGGCTGGAGAGGTGTTAGTACAACTTTGCTTCTGTTTACAAATATACATGTTTATTTGGAAAATACAGAACATCACAGAGGAACTAAAACTTTGAGTCTCACCCCACTTGACATAATCACTGTAAAATTCTAATGTATTTCTTTTATGTCTCCCCCCACCCCCCGCATATACTATGGGATCCTACCACTGCTTTTACACACTGCTGCTTCTTTTCCCTCTTCATGTTAAAAGGTGAACATTCTGCCATATCCTTAAATTATTTTCTACATCATTTTTGATGCAGTATATCCTCTTTTATGTATATATAATAATACGTCACCTACCAGCATGTGTCATAATTTCTGTAAGCAGTGGCCTTTATAGGACAGGGACAGTGTGTCCGGTTTTTACTGCTGTAACCGAGGCTGTGATGGACCTCTTAGAACATGTGCGCTGTCTGGTTACTTCCCTAGGAGAAGCTTCCCGAAGAGACAGCCAGCAGGAGGCGGGAGAAGACCCTTGGGGCTTGGAAGCACTGGCCTTGCTTCAACCCAAGGCCTGGCAGGTGGAGGTTACCACTTACTTGGTCCCTGGGTCATCGTAGGATGCCACCAGCACCAGCATGCCCACTGGAATTTCTTTAAGGAATTTCACCAGGAGCTTCACATCTGGGGGAGGGAGGAAAGCAGGGTGCCGGTCATTTAGGGGAAATGGCCAGAGGTCATTCTCATTCTCTGCTACTGCTCTGATGAACCAGGAGTGGCCAGCGGCAGGCTGACACTGAGCTCCGTCTGAAGCTCCGGGGCCAGTAGGAGGTGACATCCCCGTGGAGCTGCCCGCAGCCCTTGTCCGAGGGAGAGCAACGTGCACAGAGCAAGGGTATCCTCATTCAGGTGGTTAAGGGTGGATATTGGAATTTGAAAATTCCACAGGCAACTCAGATGTGCAGCTAGAAGTGAGAGACATTGTCCTAAGGGTCCTTGGGGACCTACTCCCAAGGTACGGAGCACAGTCATCTCTCAGGAGCTCTGGGCTCTTTGCATACCCCCTGCGGCCCCCCTCTACACTGGTTAACAACCTAACTTGTCGGTCCTGACTTTAGAGGACACACCCACTGGACCACAGGCAACTCAGGTCACTGAGAGAGAACATTAGCGTCTTACAAATCTCCAGCTTACACCAATGGTCAAGCTTCCCTTTGTGTCTTGAACACCTCACTGCAGTTGCAAAATCTCTGCATTTAACAGAGAACAGGCCTAGCACGTGGGGGAGGCATCAGCCCCCAGCTCGCTTTAAGGACATGGATTTGTTTCCTTTGAGCTTATCTGCACAAAAAGTGGTGACTTAGGACAGTGATATAGTTTCCTTTTTAAGATTTTTTAGGTTTAAAAAAGTGAGCTGAATCAAAGGAAATTACTAATAATTCAGATGGTACTCTGGACACGGCATAAAGTGTGCAGGTGGCTCTTGAATGATTGAGGAAGTGTGGGCAAGACTGGCCTAGTGGGAAAAGCAGGGGTTATAGCTGTCACACAAGGAAGATTAGTAGTCCTGCCCATAGAAATTTTGTAAAGAGTAAATGTGACAATGACTCTGGGCATACAGGAAGTGCACTATAATGGAACTGCAATTATTAGCAGCAACTGCAACATAATTTTGGGGGCCCTGTGCAAACCAAAAATGTGGAGCCTTTGGGGCACCTGGCTGGCTCAGTGGGTATCAAGCAGGTGACTCTTGATCTCTGGGTTGTGAGTTTGAGCCCCACACTGGGCATAGAGATTACTTAAAAATAAAATCTTAAAAAATATGAGGAGCCCTTTGTTAAAAAATTGTTAAGAATTTCAAGATGGCAAAGCCAGAACATCAAACCAAACCAGAGTTTGCTCTCAGCACAGAGCCCCGTAAGGCCACCCTACCCACAGGCCAATGCCCATGAACACAAGCCAGTTCTTGTATTCCCTGGGGATCCCTTGTCCCTAGGGGAGGAATCAAGTCCTGAAAGCCAAGGTCAGCTGCCAACCAGCTCAGTAACACAGAGGCCTGTGTAGTCCGTGACCACAACCTGTCCTCAAATGCTTCTGTTTCCGGGTCCCCATCAGTCGTGGTTACATCCAATTTGATAACAGGGCAATATAAAATTTAGCTTCTTTTAAATTATTTTTTCCTCTTTTCATTCTGACAATGACCTCCTTGCTTCTGAGTCCTGTGGATGGAGTGAGGGAGGAGGGAAGGGAAGGGAAGGGAGAACACTGAATGAGGCCCCCAGGTCCTTTCTCCAGCCAGTCCATGCCACCCCCTCCCCCCCACTGATCAGCACAGGTTCCCATTCAATCTCCGTGTCAGTCTCACGAAGTGGACACTGTGAATCCCCCCTATTTTATAGATGACAGAACTGAAGTATCACCTGACACAAGAAGTGTCACCTGACTCAGCCTGAAGTCTTTGATTCCAGAGACTGTACCTTTTCCATAAACCTGACCCTAGACCATCCTGAACACCTGTGTGGGGAGTGGTCCTGGACAGAGAACAAACGACACTCTCTGGCCCTCGGCCCATAGCCTGCCCCACATTCTTCTCACCCCTGTCTTTGCTCTGTCCTGCACCAGGAGAGGCCTTGCCTGCCTGCATGTGGACACTCCTAGTCTGCCTGTCCAAGCTCTGTCCACACCACCCTCCCCTCCAGCAACCACCATGCCCTGGCCACCCCTCAGTCCTAAGGGTGTGTCTGTGGCTTCTGCCCAAGGGGGTACACCTTGAAGAGGTCTGCGTGGGCCCTGATGCAGGCTTCCGGTCGGCACATCCTCTGGCCTACCTGTGAGGTGGGACTCAGGTGGAGGAGGGCCATCGTAGGACCCATGGGATCCTTTGAAGGCCTGGGCACAGGACAGGGTGCCAGCTCGTGTCTCTAAGTGTGGTCACCTTCCAAACATTCCCAGCTGTGACTTCGGGCACCAGACTCCCATGTGCCACATTTCAAGGCCTCCTTTGTTTGCAAGGCCAAGAGGACTCCCCACTTTCTTGCTGCCTGGCTTTGTCCACCCTGGGCTTGTGTGGTTAGGTGGGCATAGTAGGGTAGTGATGCCCGAGCCTGGAGCTGCCCGGGGGCTGCAGGCACAGGAGATGTGAGAATCTCACAGGAGATTCATCCCCTGTCCTTGGGATGAATGGAAATCCCTGCAGCCTTAAAATATAATACCCTTTACCTAGGAGAGCAAACTGGGCTGTATGTCTTTGTCCTTATGCACACATGCCTGGCCTCCACCTGCCAGCACTGGCAGATCTTTGCCTGAAGGTCTTCTTCCACCTCCAGACCTTCCTTTGTGCCCAGGCCAGAGTGTGGGAAGTGCCGGGGAATTAGGGGAGGGAGCACCCCAGCTCCCTTGCCCTTCTGAGACCTCTGTGAGCATGTATTGGACACTGGCTCCTGAGTCCCAATTGCCCGCAGTGTTCAGCTTGGTGACACATCGTACTGGCTCTCTTCCTTTCCCTGTCTCACTTCTCACTGGTATTTCCTGAGGTCGCCTCCTTCCAAATCAGCTGCTGCACTGGAACCCTTGTCTCAGGATCTGCACCCAGGAGAGCCCAACTAAGATGGTAGAAAGGAATTTCAAAGACAGCAGGATGGCCTTCCACCCTCACCATGCTTCTTTCTGGGTGTCTCCGGTGGAAACCAAAGCCCAGCTTCCTAATACCCCCCTGCTCTCTTGCCACAGGAAGGAACTCAGCGCACCGTGGGACCTCAGGGCCAGCAGAGAGATGCCTACCTCCGGAGTACATGTCGAAACATTTCTGTGTTAGCACCATTCCTGAGGTTCCTGGGGATGAGAGAACAAAACTGTGATTTCCTGGAATGTGTCATCGTGCCTATCATTTTGCAGAAAACGGCTATTCTTTAAGGTCTAAAAATAGACTAATAATGGAGTGGGGAAAAAAAAAGAATAATAATAAAGTCAGGTCCTGTAGAAAGCATGTAGCACTAAGTAGGTGCCCACTAACTTTTGGGCTGATCTTAGAGGTGCAAGAACATAATGGTTGGAGGATCTCTAGAATTGAACAGTATCCCGCCAATCTGGGTGTGTGTTTTGCCTTGCCTCTTCCTAATGCACCACTTAGTATTTTTACCTCAATTTTTGCATCTGAAAAACGGGCTGTAAGAACTAAGCGAGATGTATTTCAAATAGGTAGTAAGCACAAGATAAATTTCAGCTGCAGTAGTAATAGTAATAAAAATAACTACAGTCGTCATCATTATTCCTACCTAAACAGGAAATCTGCAATTTGAGTCCTCCGACTCTGAAAGGCAAAGGGATTAGTGGGCTGAACTGTACTCAGTGTTCTGAGTCTAGTAATCTGAATTGCATTTGTGGGTTTTGCAAAGGGTCCAAGTCCTACAGAAAACCAGGTGTTCTGGGAAAGTCGCAGTTCTCAAGTGCAGCCACTAGATGGGGGTGTTGCAGAGGGGATGGCAGATCTACATTTTCACCACTGGTCCCTTCCCCCTCTGCTAGCTTGTGGATCCGGGAAGAGGGTGGGGATGGGGGCCTGGGTAGTGGAGGCTCTCCTGCTGGGTGGGGAAGTGCACACTGCAGCCCTTACTGGATTCTCAGAGCCACTAGTGTAGGGTCCTTGGAAGGGGGGGGAGAGGGGTCTATGTACACATGAAACTGATCATGTGCATTTGTGGATTTTTCTGGAATTAGGGGGAGGAGGTGCAGTATGAAGTTTCTTAAAGGAATCTCTGCCCCCTAAAAGGTTGATAACCACCAATCTTTACCGATCTTTTTGTGGGCTTATTATACAGATGAGACCCTGAGGCCCTCAGAGTGATGCGTTAGACTTCCCCGCAGCTGGCCTGCAGTAGGTGCTACATAGATGTTTGGAGAGGTTTTCAGTCTAGGGAAGTAAGTAGTTCAGCTGAGTGATTAAGACCTGGAGTCAGCCAGATCCAGGTTCAAATCTCTTGGCTGTGTAACCTTGGGCAAGGTGCCTAACCTCCCTGAACTTCCATTTCTTACCTGGGACGTGGGTATATTGTCCATAGCTCCATTCTAGCATCGGGAGGAGGCTGAATGACACAGCACACCGGGAATGCTCGATGACTGAGCTATTGGTGTTACTGCTGCTTGTGCTTGTCTTTGTGCTTTGTGATGGGGGGGGGGGGGGCCGAGGCCTCAGTCTGAGCCGGTCTCGTGGGACGCTATTTACAGAGGCCTTCTCCCGCAGCGGCCCATTTCAGGGAGGAGACAACCAGCAGGCTGCAGCCAGGACCGGGGGTGGGGGTGGGGGTTGAGGGCGGCGGTGGTGGGGGCGCGAGTGGAGATTAGATGGAACAGCCCCTGTAAACTGAGACTCCTACAGTTCAGCTGGCACAGCCTCCCTGTCGGAAGGGGCCGCCAAGGGAGGGAGTCAGGCCTTGCTCAACGTCTCCAGACTGGAGGAGGCAGACCCTGCCGGGCCCCCTGTCCCTCCCTCCCCTCTTCCTGGGCCGCCTTCTGACCTCCCGCTCTGCTTTAGGCTTTGACCTTTCCCCTGACTCGACAGGGTTTCTTGGCAGAAGGGAAATGTCTCCCCAGGAGCAAAAGGCGTGTCCCACCCTACCCTGTCACTTCCTATGTGTGTTCGTGTGGTCATGACACACACAAGCTTGGCCTTTCCCTTTGTTCCGGGAAGTGGCTCTTAGATTCAGGGAAATGGCCTCCGCTCTCCATCTAAGAGCCAGAGGCAGAGAGAGAGGAGGGTCTTGGCTGGGGCAGACCACCTGGTCCCTACTCCATCCCTGTAAGCCCACTGCTCCTGACATATGTCCCTGTTTCAGGTATGGCTAGCAGCTGGTCTTCCCGCTGGAGATGCAGGGTAGTGAGGCTGTCTGCCTTCCTCCAGGTCTCTCTACCCCCAGCCTCCCTACTTCAAGCTGGAAGGAAGTTTCCGGAATGCAGGGCTGGATCCTCATGCCCTCCTCAAAGCCTTTCTGAGGCTCCCTATTGACCGGAGCTTCAAGCTCACACTTCTTAGTAGAAGGCTTAGCCCCTCACTCTCTCGCCCTGCCTGCCTCCCCGTCTGTACCCATCATCCCTACCCTCTTCTCTGTGTAGCCAGGAAGACCCTGTGTGGCCCCCAAGCCCTCTCCCTGCTCCTCCCTTCTCTGCTTCCTGCACAGTGTTGCCCCTGCTTCGAAGGAGCCTGCCCCGCTTTTTCCCTGGCCCACCCCCGCGATCCTTCAGGCCTCACCCGACCAGCACCCACCTCTGGAAGCTTCCCCTGACTACCCCCATCCCCAGCTATATGTCCCAGCTCTCAGAGCTGTGCTTCCTCCTTCAGAGACACCCCAGGGCCTGTTCTTCTAGTTCATGGCTGACCCCTAATGCTTCTGTACAGGGCTTGGCCCACAGTAGCTGCTGTCAGTACTTGTCGAATGAGTGAATGAAGGTGTGCGGTCAGCTCACGATCTCACATTGCTGTTGGTCGTCCCCCAGGGTTTTGTGTGTGTTGGTTTAGGCGGCACGGCCTCGAGGACAGGCTCATGCTTCATAGAAGGGTATCCTCCCGGGGAGCCTAGGTGGCTCGGTTGGTTGGGCGTCCCGACTTCAGCTCACGCCATGATCTCACGGTTCGTGGGTTCGAGCCCCGCGTCGGGCTCTGTGCTGACTGCCAGCTCAGAGCCTGGAGCCTGTTTCAGAGTCTGTGTCTCCCTCTCTCTCTGACCCTCCCCTGCTCACGCTGTCTCTCTCTCTCTCTCTCAGAAATAAATGAAATGTTAAAAAAAAAAAAAAAAAAGAAGGGTATCCTCCTGGGATAGTTGCTCACGGTGGGGGCCTGGTCGAGAATCTGGTGGTTGGGACCAGGCCTTTTAGACCTTCTGTCCCCACAGGCTTTCCCTCTTGTGCACTGCTGGCCCCCCGCTCAGTAGGAGCTGAGCCAGTGTTGGCTGAACGAAATGTGTAACCACCTCCCCCTCTCCCCCTCCGCTCCTGAGAGCGTGGAGGGGGCTGTCTGGGGGATGGATCAGCAGCTCACCGTTCACCAGGGCAATGTTCAGGCCTCTGCCCACATTGTTTTTCACAGGACTCATGATCCTGAAGAAGAAGAAAAACAAAATACAACAGTCGGTCCCAAGCGTGGAAGGAACACTCTGCTTTCGTGACTCGGGGACTCCACGAGGGCCCACGTGGTGATCGGCAGCAGCCCTGGGAGGCACACAGAAGAATGTGGGCCATCTGCTTTCTCCTGGAAGTGAGCGGTGGGCTGGATTCTCCGAGGAATTCTCATGGCAAGCTTGGACCAGAACAGTCTGCTCAGGAAAGAGAGAAGGTCCCTGCCTGGGGCTCTGAGGTGTTCGGAGTGGGACCAGCCTACGTCCCCCAGCAGTGAGGCCTGGCTGCTGGGATGAAGGCAGAGCCCAGAGCGTTGCTGCCATCCTGCAGAATCGGGGATGGCGGCATGGAGCCCAGCAGTGGCCCTCCCTGCCCAGCACCCACCCAGCCCTCTGGCGCTTCTCGGGAAAACTGTTCTGGTAGTTCTCTTAGATCCAGGTAGTTCTCGGGACTCACCTCACTCTCCCACGCCTGGATCACAGTCATTGAGCCAGGCATGGTCATGTGACCCAGACCAGCCAATGAAACTCAGTCTTGGGCCTTTTGCAGGGATAATTTGGGTAAGAGAAAGCTATCTTCCCAGTGGGGTGCCAGCCTGGGCTAATATGGCTGCCAACCACTGGCCTCCCTCCTTTACATGAAGCAAACCATTTTCATGTCCCCAAAACTGAATTTGACAGAGGAGAACAGAGCTAAAGACGGTATGAGAGGGAGCCCTGATGACGTGGTTTGCAACCCTGGATCCAGCTGGTCCTGAAGCCTGCTGTCTCTGTCACTAAGTTCCTCATTTTGCCTGAGTGAGTTGGAGTTAGGTTCAGAATCCTGACTAAAACACCCATCTCTGGCTTCTTTAGTAGGATAAACTTACTGTCCCCTGGGCCTTTACCACCTGGCTTGGATAATGGGTACACAGTCTTTCTCTCACACCTAAGTGGAAGTTTTGGAACCTGCTGCATCTGAACTTTGGTGCCTAAATCTTGATATTGAACCCTCCCCAGAGGCATCCACGTTTACAGGAAGCCCAGCAGTCTGGGGATCACACAGACCTGTGTTCAAATCCTGACTCTAATGCTGTCTGAGCCTCAGTTTCTTCGTCAATTACAGCCCCACCTCTGGGAGTGTTGGGGGACTGAATGAGATGAAGCCACAAATCATCTCGCAAGATGGAGATGCATCAGCCCAGAGTAAAAGGAAGCCAGTGGAAGATATGGGCTGCCCTCAGGGCCTGCCCCTGCAGCCTCTGACTTTGTGAAGGAATTGAAAGAAAAAAAAGAATCACAAGAAACTTACACCTGGTTTTCGAAGCACATGGTGGGGCCCACAACGTTGGCGGCCCCGCTGCTGATTTTAAAGGCGAAGAACTCTTCTGGGCAGGGCTTGGTGAGGCCACACTTGGTCCTGACCACCGCTGTTGACGGAACAAGAGCAACTTAGTGTCAGCAGCTCAGGGAGGGGGAGGGGAGGGGCCAGGGAGCAGGCGCAGGACGGAGCTCAGAGGCCTCCTCCAAGGAACCTCCGCGGACCTCCGCCTGAGTCAGAGGGACCTGCCCCTTTCTGCACTCCCATGATGCCTCCAACAGTCCCCCAAAGACTCAGGACACTGGCTGTGTGGTCTGACCACCCTAGAATCCATTTTCGGGGTTCCCTTGGAAGCTCCGGCCCCGGTGCAGTGCCTGACTCAGCGCACAGCACCCCAGAACTAGCGTGGAGTGACGAGCGGTGGTTGATAACCAGGGTCGTCATGATGAAGGGGTCTTCTTGAGAACCTCTCTCGAGGACTCCACAGCAGCCTTTTGAGCTCCAGAGGCCCCCTGCTGACAGCCTCCTGGGGACCCCAGCGTGGTGGGTAGGACCCCTTGCCAGCCAGGTTCCCAAGTCTTCGACCTCTTTGCGTACCAACATCCTTCTCTGAGAAATGGGATAAATTGGGTGCCTTCCCCACTGGGTTCTTGTGAGGAATAAGTGGGTAGAGGTGCTCCGGCCATACTGGGTGTTCTTATCACTCACATAATGATCATGCTGAGCACCTGCTATGGGCCGGGCCCTGGGAAACAAGGAACAGACAGGTGGTTCTGACCCTCCCGCTCCGAGCTTAGAGTCCACTGAGGACTCAGTAGGTGGCACCTGTGACCACTGTGGCTGCCATTACGACCTGTGCCTTCCCCACGTGGCCCTCAGAGGGCAAACCCGGGGGCAGGGTGTGAAAGGTGGGAAATGTACATAGGACCCACCCCCCAAACACAGCTGAGCCACTTGGGCCTCAATCAACCCTTTGTGAGCTGGGACAACCGTCACCTGTGCTTTTGGCCTGAAAGGCTTTAATTTATATTCATTCCTGTTTTTTTTTTTTTTTAAACACCACCTGACAGTTGAGGAAATACCATTAGGGAGGACTGGGTAAACAAGCACTTAGAGAAAGTTCACCTGCAAAAGGAAAGCAGTGATTGGGCAGCCCCTCGCTTCCAGCCCTGGGCCAGGCTTCTGGCTGAGCTATGGCTGCTTGGAGCAAACCCACAGGCTTCCTAGGAGAAGCAGGCACAGGCCGACGGCTTGCTGCATGCTGGGCACCGTGGCAAGCACTTTACATTTATTATCTTGTCAAATTGTGCCACTAACTCCTGTGCCTGGCACACAGTAGGTACTGAATAAATATCCACTGAATAAACATATGGAGCCATGTAGGCAGGGTGCTTAAGGTCTCCAGGGAGACTTTATGTGCATCAGGGAAAAGGACCCCTCGGGGGGGGGGGGGTTGGGCACAACCCTGGGCAAGCCCCAGGCACCTGAGCAGGTAAAGGTGCTCTTTCCTAGGAGGAAATGCTGCCCACGCCCGGGTGCCCAGCTGCATTTCAGCTTGCTCGCTGCGTGGGCAGCCCTGGAAGTGTGAGTAGAATGCCTATCCCTGCCCACCCTGCCTCCCCAACCTGGAGTTTCAACACACCCACCTAGTGGGAGTAGCCAGAGCTCAAACCAGGACATTGTCCCCAGAGGGATGGCCAGGGCTGGAGACACCCGCAAGGAGCTGCCCAGGCTTGTGGCTCAGGATAGAGAGGGCTGCAGACGTGGGCCCGGCTCCCCTCCCCGCCCTCTGGAGGGGATACTTCTCAAGAGGCCCAGCACCTGCTTGAAGGGCTGGCTGAGGATAGGGCCGGGGAGGGGCCCGTCTCTCCTGTGAGCCTTGGGGCCCAACCTCTGGCTCCCGGGTCCCTCACAGAAAAGCCAGTTTACTCCTTAGACCAGAGGCTCTCACCCAGGCTGGAGGGATGGTTCCAGGCCCCGGCCACCACCCTGGAGTTTGCCCAGAGCCTAATCAACTGCAGCTAAGGCTGATAAACCTGATGTCAGCAGGGTGGCTTAAGCAGGCTTTTCTGGAATTGATTTTCTGACCATCCAGCCCTCATGGTCAAGCTACTGGATGAAAGGGATGATGTCCAGGGGTCTCAGCCACTGGGAGGCGCGGGATTTGCTCTCGGGGTTTGGGCTCAGAGGTTGCCCTCTGCCAGCCGCCTCACACCCTGAGGCCTGAGCCCTCTGGGAACCGCCAGTGTTGTCACCGAGGGCATGAACCGCCGAGGGCATGAAGCTGAGCCCTGGAGGGGGAGCAGTCAGGAACCATGGTTCCTGCTCTTCTGTAATCCGTGGTGCCACTTGCCAGAAATCTCTCCCTTTACCTTTGCTGACTGTAAAATGAGGGAGTTGGTTTAGATCAGGATGGTCAGATAGCTTTTCTCTTTAGTGTCAGTGCGTCTGCTATTCGAGGCTTAAAGATAAAGCTGCAGAGGCTGCCTGTGTGCCTGGAGGGAAAGGTGCAGAGACTGACCGGTAACGCCGACCAGGCGAGGGGGCAGGGCGGGAGGCAGCACAGGGGCCTGGATCTGCCGTCCCCTAGCAGATGACGCCCCAGCGGGCGTTTGGCACCGAGATGCTCTGACACCACGTCTGCAACAGAATGCGACTCAGGAAGTTTCAGGTCAATGGAGTTGAGGGTGTGGGGTGAACGGTTCGTGCTGATCCATATGGTCTCTGTGCTCTGTGATCCCACAGTGCACCGGGGCTCCCCTGTCCTTCTCAGTCAACATTCTGTTCCTGGAACCACATCCCTCTTCAGTCACTACTACGTCGGGGTGCAAGAAGGTGGATCTGGGGATGTTACCTCTTGCAAGGTGTGTTGAGAGGGTGGGCTCTGGACCCCTGCATACAGCTGTCTTGCCTTGGCCAAGAGATTTCACTTCTCTGAGTTTCAGTTTGCCCATGTATAAAATGCGGATGATTATATAGCCCCCACACGAGGCTGTGCTGAGGATTGCAGGAGGAAAGCTCTGAACACGGGGTCTGGCACATGGTGGGCCGTCCATCATGGTACTGTTCTCATCACCATCCCTGACACCTTCTCCACACTTCGGGAGCTTGGGTCCTGGCCTAAGCCCTGCTCGGACGCATGCAGTGTCCGGCATTTGAGGCCTCGGTGTTCCTGCCTCCCGGTGCCTGACTCTCCAGCCACGGGGTCCCCTGCAGCCCCACACATTCCTGCCCCCAGGCCTTTCCCCCCCCCCCCCCCCCCCCCCGCCTGACGCCTTCCATGACCCCATCTCATTGAAAGGGGGCAGCCCTCCTGCAGCCTAGAACACTCTGTCCCAGCTCTCTTGGCTTATTCAGCACTTCTACTCCAACAGACAATCAACACCCCCTTCTGTTTGCCCCTGGGGGCCCCTGCTACCTGCCCCTGGGGGCCGTTGTAGTGCCCCTGGTACTTGGGAACAGGAGCTGTGAGTCAAGCCTGGGGTCACTATATGATGATAAAAAGCACAGCCCCCATCTTCTGGCCCAGTGGGGGTGACCAGGGGGAGGCGGCTGTGCTCGTCCAGGTGCGGTGACTGGGGGGAGGCAATGCAGACTGCAGAGCGGGGGTACTGGGGGGGGGAGAGTTGAGCCATAGAGTTGAGACTCCATCAGTCGTCCACAGGGCTTGGGGGCTTGGGAAGCAGAGAGCTGGACAGACTCTGGGCACCAAGATGTTTCTAGGACCTTCAGGGTCAGGAGTAGCAGCCCTGGGACATCTCACCCTAAGGCAGAGGCAGGGCTGGGGTGATACTCACAGATCTCCTTGGTGACTAAACCTGTTTGGAGAGAAGACAGAGCTGGTTAGAGGGGAAGTGTTTGGGGGCGCCCCCTGCTGGAGGCCGGGGCATGGGGTGTGGGGAGTGGCGTTGGCCTGGCCAAGGGATCCTCCTCCCCTGTGGGATGTCCCACCCTTTCAAGGAGCCCTCCCTCACTTGCCACTGACACCCCTTCTCTCTCTCTCTCTCTCACACACACACCCCACTTCCTATTCTAACAGAGCATGTTATTAAATGTATAAAATAAAATAGATTAGAAAGGAAACCAACTGTATATCAATACAAAAATATTAAAAAGTAAATTTGTGCTGTGGTAATATATGTGCTTGTATATTAATGCATTAAATAATAAGATTGGGTGTGTGTGCAGCCAGTCTAGGAACCCTTGAAGACAATGAATGTTGTCCCTTTCAGTGGCTGAACATTCATGGTTTTCAATGGCCACTTTTCTCACTGGTGACATTTCCTGCCATGGTAAGCATTTCTCGAGACTCTGGAGTACGTTAATGCACTTCTGTATATTCTGTAATTAAGTGTTTGTCCCTGACTCAGACCACGAGTGAGGGCCACATGTTAGGTTCCTAGGACCTAACACGGAATAGTTGCTCCATGATTGTTGCTTGGAGGTGTTGATTCACCTCAGGTAGCTGAGTTCTGGGGTTTCCCCTCTTTCTCTCTTTTTAAAAATTTTTATTTATTTTAATAGAGAGAGATGGAGACAGACACACACACACACACAGAGAGAGAGAGAGAGAGAGAATCCCTAGCAGGCTCTGTGCTGTCAGCATGTAGACTGACACAGGGCTCAATCTCATGAACCAATGACCTGAGCCAAAATCAAAAGTTGGACACTTAACTGACTGAGCCACCCAGGCACCCCTGGGGTTTCCTTTCAAACACTGTTCTCTCTCTCACCTCAGGTTTGGGCTCTCTCTTCTGGAGGACACCCCTGATCTCCACTCCTGCTCTGAGCCTCCTACACTGACCTGGGTCCATCCCTTCCCAGGCCGGCAGCACGGCCAAGTCAATCTTCATAAAAGCAGTGTCCAGGGACACGTTGGCCTCCATGCATCTATATAAATCATTGATGTGCGTGTGAGCCCTGCTTGACAAAAAGTATATGCAGTGAGGGATCTTGGAAACTCCTCTGTGGGGTGACTGGCTTCTCACAGCTGTGAAGCTATGAGCTAGCCTGGACCACTAGAGGTTATTATGTTTGACTGTGTCAATGGAGGTGGTTCTCTGAATCCAAGGAGAACAAATTCAGAGGCATTTTGTTCTCTCCTTCCTTTGAAGGAGTTTGGACCTGGGAAACTATGGTTCCCATTCCTCCTGACATCTACAAGGGGAATCTTTTCTTAAGAAAAGAAGGCGATGAAGAAACGTGCACCACGCCATGAAACGTAAACCACATCATGAGGTCATGTATGAGTCCACTCTGCAACCAAACCTTGGACTACCTCATGGGCCATTTGTGTAGATTATATGAGATTGTGGATGTAGGTAACTGGTATTCATTACTTATCCATCATCCACCCATCCATCATTCATTCACTTATCTGTCATCCGCTCATCCATTATCCCCCAATCCATCCATCTATCCATCCATCCATCCATCCATCCATCCATCCATCTGTCATTCATTCACCAAGTCCATCACCCATCCATCCATCCACCCACCTATCCATCCATCCATGCATGCATGGAAGTGCCAGGTGCTGGAGAAATGGATGTACACAAGATAAAATCCTCAACTTCAAGAAACTTACATTCTAGGGGATGGTGATAGGCAATGACCAAGTAGGTGAGTAAATAAACACCCTAATGACAGGTGATAGTGAAGCTCTGAAGGAAAGAGGCTGACATGGGAGGCAAAAGTAGGATGAGGGGGTATGGCTGCAGGTGGGTGTTCAGAAAGGCCTCTCTGAGGAGGTCACATTTAAGCAGAGATCTGAAGTCTCTGGAGCTGGCTGTAGGAAGATCTGCATAAAGAGGATTCCAGGCAGAGGGAACAGCAGCTGTGGCTGGAAGCTTCTCAATGCTCCCTCTCTCCCTCCGTCCTTCCTTCCTCCTTTCCTTCCTCCCTCTGTCCTTCCTCCTCTTTCCTCTTTCTTCTTGGAATCACATTTCCAAAATGACCCCTTGATATAGGCACATGCTTTGGCCAAGGCTTCAGAACCTTTCTCTGTTCCCCGTGGGCTCCAGCCTTCCTGACAGCCTCCACCCCCACAAAGGCTGGGGCCCTGAAGGCACCCCACAACCATGCCATATCTGGCTATCTCCTGGGTCACCCATGGATGGAGGGAGGACTATATCCTTGGCCCCACCTTGTCCATAGGCCCTACCCCCCAGAAGTGGGCCCCACTCACCCAGCCAGCGGGGCAGACGGATAGTTTTCATGTTTAAGCTGATGTAGCTGCGAATAAAGATCCACGTGGTGATCAGGGCAAAGATGAGGGCCAGGAAGCGAAGCACACCTGCAAAACAAGGAAATAGTGCCATGAGGCCACATCGCAAGGCCATATAGCAAGACTGCAAGGGAGTCATTCCCAAATCCCCCCAGGAAGACCATGCCAGGCCCCCTCCCCCCTGCCAAGAGACCCTATGTTGTAGCTCCAGATGGAGGCCCACACCTTGGACCACTTCAGGGGACCACGTGGTGAGACCACACCTGAATCCATGCAGTGATCAAATGGTGAGATCATGCTACAAGATTACATGGCAATAACTTCCCAAAGTGGGTCCACTGGGAGAAAAAGGCAGAAATGCACCTTCCTGGGCTCCCCTTAGCCTTCTGGAAACAGAATCATTAGAGGTGGGGCCTGGGGATCTGCACTGCCGAGGGCGGAGAGGTGTGTTGGGAAAGCAGTTTCTACTGCAGACAGCCCTCAGAGGTGGGCACCCCTGCAGGACTCAGGGGGGCTGTGTCCGAGGCCCCGGGCATCCAGTTGCTGCTGTGTGGGGTCGGGCAGACCTCAGGCCCTTTGGGGAGGAGCGCCTCAGTCACAGAGGGGACATGGCTCAGCATCCTTGCCTCCGAGCCCGCAGCTTGTTGGGAGAGATGTGACAGTTGTCACTGGTAGGCAGCCTCCAGGGTGGCTTGGGGCTGGTCTCCCATGTCTTCCGTTACTCCCCCTGAAAGCCAGCACAAATAGCCACACAGTGCTGTCGACAGGAGCATGCACGGGCCTTGCTGGCGTGGCTTCCCTGGCCTCACACTGCTTCCGCGTCAGTGGGAAGCAGACCCACACACAGGGTGCCCCGAGTCCCCTGTCCTGCTCTCTTCCCTTTCCATGAGGGTCAGAAGCGGGCTCCACTATGCCTCCCGGCTCAGGGACTCCGGTGGCCACGCTCCCATCAGGCCACGTTTCTCTAGCCCCATGCCTGACCTCCATGTGGCTCTGAATTCAGCTCTGTGGTCTCATGCCGGTTTCTGGCTACTTGGGGTAGGGGAGAAGACTCCCTGAATCCTGGGGGGCATGGCTCAGGTCCGTGGGGGTCCCTCATCTTCTGGGGCGCAGTGTGGTTGTAGGCACCCAGAGTTCTCCCTGGGTATCAGGTCACATTATACATCCATATTGTTCGAGCCACCAGGTGAATGGCTTTTACATACGTTATTTCAATTCATCCTCGTGGTAAACCTCTGTGTTAGATACTATCGATTATGCCCATTTTACAGATGAGGAAACAGGCTCAGAGAGGTGGTCACTTAGCTGGTAAGTGACAGAGAGGTGGAGTTTGAACCCAGGGAAGTAAGCAAACTCTAAAACTTGTGCTCTTCCTCACGGCTATTTGGGAATATGGATGAATTGTGTCCATTTCTTACTTGGTGCCTCAGTTTCCCTATTTGTATAAACAGGGTACAGCATGAGGGCATGGACAGAAGACAAAGGCTACTCCTTGTGCCCAGCCCCATGGTGTGATGATTCTAGAACAGCCCTCCTTGAGACAAATATTTTGTCCCTAATTTCCTATCAGGACCAGATATTTCCAAAATAGGGTCAATCCCTGTAGATCCCAGCCAGAAGGGGCCGTCGTGTCTCAGCCTGGAGGCAGGAAGTTGCCTTCTCCCCACTTCCAGGCTCCCCTGGATGAGTTTCCTCCCGGAATTCTGGCCTGACCATTGGAGAGCACACATGGCCAAACAGCCTCGGAGTCTAGGACTGTCTGCACTGGTGAGAGAAAAATGAGTCCCAAACCAATCTCAGACCTCAGCCTCGAGCCTATGAATCTTCAGAGCCTGGCCCTACCTGACAGTCTCATCTTGTCCAGGCGAAGAGCGGCCTGGGGTCAGTGTTAGCCTGTGGAGAGAAGGAAATCAAATTGGAAGCTGGCATCTGGGGTCTGAAAACAAATAAGACTGACAGTTAGGGACGGGTACCTCGAACAGAGGAGACCACAGACCTTTCAGTTTGGTTCCTCACCATCTGCCATCTGTTCCCTCTCTGCCTCCACCTCTCCTTCACTTTTGCCCCTAGAACTTTATTCAATTCAACATGTCTTTTTTGAGTGGAGAGATTGGCTAGTGGAGGAAGGCAGAGGGCTGGCGTATCCCCTCATCCATCCATTCATCCTGCCTCCCTCCTTCCCTCCCTTTCTCCCTCCCTCCCTTCCTTCCTTCCATCCATCCAGGCAGCTGAGAGACACTGAGCTAGCCAGCCCCAGTCAAACCAGCAGGAAAACAGAAGCTCATGTGACCTCTGCTCATGTACCAAAACGAAGGGTAGTGAGAACTCTCGCATTACAGGCGAGTTTGCACAGGGCGCTATATGTGCATTTATTCCTTTAATCCTCACACTCCCCCATTTTAGGGGTAGGTAGACCAAGACTCACTGTGGTTAAGCCCGGGATTATCCAGCTTGTAAGGATCAGGCAGAATTTGGATGCAGGTCTCCACTGCCCACCCCCACAGGCCCCCCCTGCCAGTGCCTTTTGCCTCAGGGGAGAGTTGAACCTGGGGTTTCCTCCCTTCTTGAGCCCTGGGAAGGGGGATGGTCACCCTTGGCCCCACCTCCTTCCGCCTGTGCCACCCCCACGTGCTGGGCAGTTACCGGTGATTTGGTGGCTTCGAAGACCTAGTCTCCAGTGATGGAGGGAGGGGAGGGCAGGGCTGGTGGTAATTGTGCCAGGTCTCTGACCCCCCGAAGCCCGCTGGAGGGGCTCTGACCTCAAGGACTGCTCCCACTACTCTTCCTGCCCCTCCCCACCCCAGAATCTTCTTTATCCTAAGACTCTATCTCAACAGACGTGCTCTCCAAAGCCCAACTGCCAAGGACCCGGAAAAGAGACAGGAGGCTGGAGGCCTCCACGGAAGCAGTTGGGCTGGGTCAGTCCTTGACATTTAAACAAGAGCAAATGCAAGCACAAATCCGCATTTCCTTTTGATAAGTGAGTAAGTATAAAAAATGCCCCGCCCCCCTCCCTCCCCCCCCAACTCTGGCCCTGGCCTCCAGGTCCTTGCAGGGGAGAGAAGGGAGCTGCTGCCTGACCCGCCCACAGAGATTTTGTGAAACTCTGACTTCCTGAAATTCAAATGACCGCCCCCCCTTTTTTTCAGATACAAAAGCATATTATGCCTTTTTGAATGCTCATAGGGTATGACGTACAGTCTGGGAGCCCAGGCCCTGGGTGAGGTTGTCAGGACATGCTGTGGGGTCCCCGCGTGCAGAGGCTCTAGAGCAGGGGCCAGACCGGGTGCAAGGACCCGGCCGGTCCGAGGGATGAGGATTCACAGATGGACAGACGGGTACTGATGTCCACAGACAGGGAGTCAGAGACCGAGCTTGGAGAGCGCAAGGGGGACGGGGACAGGGAGATGGCAGAGATTTAAAGGCGGAAAGCAGGAGACAGGGGCAGAGGGAAAGAGCAAATCCTCAGGACATGCACTTGCGCGGATTCGGAGGGAGAGAGACACAGTGCCATTCAGGCAGACGCACGAAAGGGAGGGCAGAGACAGAGGCACATACCTGGGCAGGGGGCTAGGCCCCGGCTGGCACGTCCGTGCCAAGGACAGGTGCTGGCTTCAGGGCGCAGGTGGGGAGGGGCGGGGGCAGCGAGGGCTCTTCCAGCCTGATGTGTCCGCGCGGCACCTGCAGGGCTTTCCTGTCCCCCGGGTCCCCAGCCGGCTCACCCTGGGCGCCCGTGGGTGCTCTGGAGACCCGAGCTCCGGGACTGGCCCGCTGGGGGCGGGGCGGGAGGAAGACGGGCACTTTGGACTGCTACGCCCCCGCAGGGTGGGGCAAGAATTCCCTCCGTGGCCACCCAAACCCAAAAGTCTCTTTCCTACTTGTTCCTGCGAGAACGTCTGTCGCAACCTGTTATTCAGGTTACGAAGCTGTGGGGCAAAGGCGCGGGGAGAAAGGTCTTCCTGCCCTTGCGCGCAGGCTTGAGGCCCAGGCACCCATGTGGTGGCCTCGGGGTGGTATGCGGTCACAAGGTCACAAGGTCAGCAGGGCGGCAGGTGGAGGGTGGAAAGTAGGGGCTAGGGGAGGAGAGGTGGAGAGTGGGAGGGCAGGGCCCCTTGTTCACCCTCACTGTCCTTGAGTCCCTCCCTTCACGCCCCTTTGGACGCTGCCCTTCTTTTGCATAAGCCCCAAGCACGCTTTTCTTTTCCAAGGCAGGCCTGTAGGCCTCGCGCAATGCTGAGCGGACAAAGTGCTCCATGACTATTTTGGGACTGAATTCTTGCATAGCCATGAAAGGTTACAACAGGTAAAGTTCAGAGAGGGCAAGTGACTTGTCTAAGGCCACACAGCCAATTGTAGATTTCCTTTCTGAAGCGTTCATGGGAAGGCAGGCTGTGCGTTAGGCAGGGGTGTGTGGCTACGAGCAAGACACACTCTGGAGGGTTCCTGGGCCTTTGCACTGCTAGCCCCGTCTGTACGCCGTTCACCGTTCCTGTGCATCTTTGCCTGAAACTCCTACTCAGGTCTCAGCGTAGGAGTCACTTCCTCTGGGAAGCCTTCCTGGACCCTCCACATCAAGATTAAATACCTATGTGTGGTCCTGGATGAGGGGACACCCACCCCCACCCTGTCATAAGGGGCTGGTCAGGCAGAGCACTGTGACTTCTTTGTGATTGATTCAGAAGGGGGCATGTGCCCCATGCAAGGCCAATTAGAGTTTTTTCCTGGGACAGATATGTGGAAATTGGGGCAAGAGGAGCTATATTTTCCCTGGTGACTCAAAGCTAGACATCTGTGAGTCTGGGGCCATTCTCCTACATCACACCCTACTGGGGGCAAGTCCTGCCAGAAGACGTAAATGCCAGGGCCGAACAGCAGGGCGTGCTTGAGAGAATCAGGAGGAAAAAGCTCGTATTGTCAGGAGGGAGGCTGTGGCTTCGGGTCCATTGGACACACCTGGGTTAGTTACTCAACACTTGTGTGTCTGGGGCATATCTCCCTGGGCCCCCGTTCGTCCTTTGTAAGATGAGGGTGATGCTATGGACGTGTCCTGAAAGGGGTGTCAGGCAGGGAGGCTGTCTGCCGACAGGGTTTGGCTGGCCTGATGACACCCACCCTACCCATCCTCCCTGCTGCTTCCTCGTAGCACGCCTCCTTGGCCGGCTTCTATTCCTACGTTTACTTTTCCTGCGAAGTCCAAATGCCATCACAGACTGCTTGTTTGTGACATTTCTTAATGGCCCTCTAGAGCTGGGAAATCAACTTCTTCCTGTTTCCTGGAGCCCCCTTTACTCACGTGCCTTGGGGCTCAACCTTTGAGCTCTGTCCCAGAGACAAGATGAACAGAGAAATGGTTACTCTCTGCCCAGTCTAGGAGGACTGAGGAAAGCACCTGGATGGAGAAACAAGTGGGTATTTCCCCTGCGTAGTCCCTGGGCTATAGTCCCGAAAGCTCGCAGGGTAAAGGTCAAAGCAGTTCAGGTGGCTTATGAGGCCTTGCATGATTTTAACCCTGGCACGAGATTGACCTTGCAGAGCTCATCGTCTGCTGTCCCCACTTCACATTCTGCTCTAGACACTCAGAGCCGCCCTAAATGAGCTCTGTCCCTCTCCAGCCTCACACATGCAGTTCTCTGTATGCGGACTGCCCTTCCCTGACTCATCCATGTGGGCAGCTCTTCCTTGTCCTCGGGTCCTTAGCCAAGCAGCCCTTTGTCGTTGGAAAGACAGAACTCAGAAGCCATTTCCTGGTTCATCCCAAGGATCCAGGCTCAGCCAACAGTCACTCCTGAATCAGCCCTAAGCCGCAGGTAAAATGGGAAGAGCACTGCGAACGTGCTCTGCATTTTCCCTGACTTGGGCATTAGCCACAGGTTCAACGTGGCTCTCTGTTTTTCAGGTTGTTTCTAAGGAGGCATGAACTTGAGGCCAGATACGGGGCTCAGAGAAATCAGATTGTAATTAGAGCCAGCTGTAGCTTTATGGCTGCACTTGTATTTGCTTTAGGCATTCAGCTTTTCCGGCACCTGCTGGCAATCAGGTTTCTTCCTCTGCCCAGAACCATACCTCAAATCCTTGCCCAAATTCCAGAGGGGGGAAAAGCCCTGTTAGATACACTGGGAGAAGAAATGGCAAACACATGGGGTGTCCGCGGTAGACACCAAGGACCCATTGTGATCACGGCTCCAGGGTGGGCCCCTAATCCAGTATGACCGGACTTTTTCTTTTTTTTTTAATGTTTATATATTTTATCTTGGGAGAGATGGGGGAGGACGCAAGCGGGGAGAGCAGAGAGAGAGGGAGAGAGAGAATCCCAACCAGGCTCGCTGCTTTCAGCACAGAGCCCCACACGGAGCTCAAACCCATGAACGGTGAGAGCATGACCTGAGCTGAAATTGAATCAGACGTCTTACCAGGTGCCCATGACTGGCATTTTCCTAAAAAGGAGCAGTTTGGATGCAGACACCCGCACAGAGAGTCATGTGAAGACTGGGGTCACACTGCCGTACGCTGTGGGACTTCCAGAAGCTGGGAGATGGGCTTGGGCAGCTTCTCCCCAAGCACGGCCAGAGGGAGCATGGCTCTGACAACACCTTGGTGTCGGACTTCCCGTCTCCAGGACTGTGAGGCCCAACACATTTTCGGCAACCCAGGCTGTCTCGTAACAGGGGCCTGATCTGAGGCGCCACCCTCGCTATCGCCCACAACTCCACCAAACGACAGGGCCTCAGCAGCCTGTAGTAACCCGTTGGACACAGCACCCTTTATGGGGGCTTTCCCTCCCCTGTCTCCCTATCCATCCTGTCCCCTGCCGCTGGCATCTGGGACCACTCCCCAGATAAACTACTTTCCTTGAATCTTTATCTTAGGGTGTTCCTCTGAGGAAACCAACTCAAAATGGTATAAGAATGATCCATCCTTCCCTCCCCTTGGGCTTACCCATGTGGGGATCCTGGCCGCCCACAGCACCACGCTTCTGCCTGCTTCTGACCACGGCTCTCCTGGAGACCTAGCCCTGTGGTGGGCTCTCTCTTCCTCCGCTTTCAGGCCCACCTGGGGAGCCCCTTCACTTTCCCATCGCCTCTGCCTGGGAGTGACAACCCGTGTCACCCCACCGCAAGGAGGGTGAGCCCTCTCCAGCTACCTCCACCTCTTCCGGGAAGCGTATTTTCCTGACTTTCCTTCTTGCCTTAACCCCAGCCCCTGGGGAGCCCCTCCCTGCGCCTCCATCAGGACAGAGGGGCCAGATTTTCTCAGTGAGCTCTCGACAGCGAAGTTCGCTTAAGCTCATAATAAAAATAATAAACTATCCACAAAAGAATCCAACTGGCTCCCACTTATTGAGTGCTTACTGTGCAGCTGGATTGGGCTAAGAATTTTATGTATCTTTCTGGCCAAATCTCCAGGGCAACCCCGTGAGTTGGACACTATTGTCTCCTCTTCTTAGCGGAGGAAGCTGAGGCCCGAAGGGGGTGAGGGACAGGCCCATGGTCTCACAGCTGTGGTGGCAGAGCCGAGATCTACACCATCAGCTGCAGGTGACAGGCCTTAGGCGGACTCACACTCACCAAATCCCAACAAGGCAGGGAACTGGGTCCGAAGGGAGTTCTGTGTGCCTCGGAGTAAGGCTTGACTCGTGAAAAAGTAGGTATTTTAATTGGAACTCAAAGGATAATTAATTCTACACCAAGAAAGGGTCCTAACCTTGGGCCACCGAGGGCTCCCATTTTCCTTCATTTGAGTGACTGAATCTCTGGGGCAGGGATGGAACATACAAGAATTTGTGGAGCCGCTTCGTGATCCGTGGCAGATCTAATGAAGCAAGCCCAGCACTTTTTCTGGCCGAGATAGAAGGGGGCTCAGACTCACTCCCACCAGTGTCTTAGGGCTGACACATGAGACTTGTCATCCTTGGAGTGGGGACTTCTCAGAGGGGGGAAGGGCCAGCTGGACTTGGAGCTGGGTCCTCTTCACAGCATGGGCGTTCCGGAACCAGAGGAAACACACTGGGTGTGACGGAAGCCTCTCTTTTGTCATGGACAAGACTGAGACAGCACATGGTCATGACCTAAGCAGGTCTGAGGCTTCTGTATCAGTATCTGCTTGATCAGGAGTTATTTGAGGATCTCTGTGACATCTTTTTTTTTTTTTTTTTTTTTTTAAAGCCAACCCAGTCATTCATCCTACGTTTCCCAAGGCTCTCTTCTGTGCCATTACCATGCTGGGGGCTTGGGACAGAGCAGAGAACCAAGTTCTCACCTTCTGGAAATGCACAGCACAGCTGGGAGGGACAAGCATGTGGAAGGTTACTGTGTGGTGGGCTAGGTGCTCTGGTAGGAGTTCCTCCAGGGGACCTCTTGGCTAGGAGGCTATCAGAGAGCACTTCCTGGAGGAAGTGGCATCTAGGCAGATAAAGTTCTCCTGGAAAGTGTTCCAGGCAGAGGGAGCAGCGTGTGCGGAGGCTCAGAGGAGGCAGAACCTGATACTCTTGACGGTAGAGACTAAAGTGAAGGGGGAAGGGGATTATTCACTTGGGCCTTAAGGATAGGGCTAATGTAATGACCTTGAGCATTGTTCTGAGGGTGATGAGGGAGCCACGGGAAGAATTAGACAGGGCCAGTGATAAAATCCTTAGCTCAGTGTGGAGAAGGGAGCACCTCCTCCAAGAAGCATTCCCTGACCCCTGGCTCCTGGCTTTTCAGTGGAGAATCCTGCCATAAGGCACCATGTCATGCTTCATGGTCAGCCTGATTTGGAGGCCAGCTTCCTCTCTA